TTTTAGATTTAGCAACTAATATTAGAAACGAAATAAGGACAAGAGTAGATGAAGGAGATAAAGAACATGCTTCAACCTTAGTATCTTCTACATTACACAAACTTATGCTTAAACTTCCAGAAATTAACCAAGTAAGATACATGTTTTTTATCTCATAAAAGTCATATAATAATTACTAATATTTGTTTAAATATAGCATATTAAATTTCAATTACAGAAAAAGTGCAAGGCACTCTTTCTCTGAACTAGAAATAACAGTACAGTGTTATATGAAGAAATTATTGTGAGGGTTTGTAAAATTACAAAAGCTGATCCAAGATTAGGATCCTTAGTAAGAGATGTCAGTAGATGGTTTAGTATATATCATTACAAGTTCCACATAGCTGTGGTAAAATTAGCGAACGAATTTAGAGCATTAAATGAAAGGTTGTAGTCAGTGATGGTAAATTTCGTAGTTGGTCATTTGCTATTTTTTAAAATGATCTAGGTTATTTGGTATATAAAACTCATAATAAAATTATAACATGATGTGGTCATTTCAAAGGTCATTTGAGGTTATTTACCAATACTGTTCATAGTGGCAAGATAATAATAAGTATTTAAATTAATCATTTTTTTGTATTAAATAATCAATAAACAAATAGTGCGAAAAAACCTTATGATGAATTAAATGAATTTGTTACTAATGATGTTTGGAAACAATTACTGCAAATGCATCTAAAGGCAACTGATCAAACAAAATTAAAAAAAGATTCTTAAATATTTACAAAACTTAAAATTTTCATACACTAAGTAATTAAAACTGTCCTCGTTACCCAAGACAATCATAAAGATATACAAAATGCTATCAGAAAGTCTGACGAGTACATCATCGATCTTGAAATTCCAACCAAATTTAGAATAGTGCAGTTATTACTAGTTAGAAAACTTCTTGACTGTTAATTATTTAATGTGCTGTCTATATGTAATTATGCAAAAATATTAATTGCTGAATGTTAAACTTTGTATTAAGAAAACAATTGTAAAAAGACATTTTTTTTTATAATGGTTAAATATACAAGCTGAGCCAAGCCAATAATATCCTAATAGTAGTGAATGTACTTTATTTTTTAGTGACAAAGACTTATACACAATTAATACATAATCAATATAATAATTATATCAGGGCTGAGTGAAACCTGTATTGTAAATTAGTAAAATCCTCTGTGTAAATAATGTTAGAATGAAATCCACATTTAGCTATTTTTATTATGCAAAAGCAGATCAAATTCTATCCATAGCTAGAAATGTGTTGCATATAATTATAAGGTTAATGGTATAAAGAACTTTGTGTAGGCTAATAAAAAGAAAATGTGAATTGTATACTATCTTATATAACTCAATGCTAACTCAATATAATTATATATAGTTAAAAGTTTTGTTTTGCTTTTCGATCATAAAGATGACTTGCCCACGTGATGAGATAATATGATAATTTGCTTATTAATTAATTTAATCGAGGCCAGATAAAAAAAAAAATTCAATTTAACAATCAATCGATAAATTAATAATAAGCTGTGAATAGAATAGCATGTAGATATTCTGTGCCAAGTTATGTCGATTATGTTTGTGCAGACAAAATATTTTAAAGATTGGGTTGTTACATCATAAGATAGATCAAGAAAAACTTTTTGTTAGTACACTAAATGTATTTTTTCATGATCTTGTTACGTGAAATCTGATTTGTATTTCAGGAAATCTGACCACATGATCGATATAACCTGGTACAGAAAACTGATGTGAAATAGAATAATGATAGATGTAATAGCAATAACAAATCAAAGAATTGATATATTTACAAGAAAAAAATGATTACCTATCCAGCCTTTAAACACTATTACTATATCTAAAGTTTTTATTATTTATTTTTCTTACGTATATATTTGGTAAATCAAGGGGTACTGTCAACCAGATTTACTTATTTTTGCAAGGAATACAAATCTTGTGCCAATAGTAAATATTTATTTGTTATTATTTTGCTAAAAGCACATGAAGCATTAGGGTTAGGGTTAAGATTGGTAATAAGAAATATTGTATAGAGTCTTTGCAATAAAAAAAGCCTGAATGCTATATTGTATATAATAAATATAGCATTTAGGCTTTTTCTATTGCAAAGACTGTATATAGTAAAATTTGGTTAGAAATTTTTTTTATTAAAATGTCAAGAATGATTTTTTAAACAAAATTTCAAGTTACTAGCATATTTTGAAAAAGCCTTTAACTTCATATTATACAAAAATTGTATCTGATCTTGTAATTTATATAAAAACTTTTTTGAAAGTTTGTATTATTTGCAAAAAATAAGTATATACTGTATTTGTTAACTAGAAAGTACTTTACAAAATAAAATATAGTACAATGTAATTACTTTTATTTTTTATATTATATTATATATATACTTTATATTATTTATTTATATTAATAATATATTGATAATATATTAATAAAGGATACAAATCACTAACTCTATCCAACGATCACTTGTAGCAAATTTTTCTTAAAAACAATAGCTATTTTCTAAAAATTTTATTAAGTAAACCACTCTTGGCTGCCTAAATAAAGTTGTTCAGCATTTAATTTTACTTATAAACAGTTTAGTTTTATAGCTCCAAAGCTTCTCGCTATAGAGTTATAACTATATTTTTAAAATTCTACTTTTTTCTTGTTTGCTTAAAATTTTATTAAGTAAACCTTTATTGCTTTTAATAGAAAAAGATTAATCTTAACAAGAGCTTCATTTTGATATATAATACTTCATAAATAGATAAAAATTACAAATTTTATAGCTAAAATACTCTTAAACTCGTTACAAAATCCGCACTTTAATTTCTGTTAAAAATTTCTTTTTGGGGGGATTTTGCCTCTCTAGGACGCCCAAACCTGCAGATCCTTATTACTAATCAAGATTATTAATCAATTTACACAATTTTACTCCTTGTTACATCTATTCTTACACAAAAACCAAACTTACTTTTTTGGTTTTAGTAAATTTATACAAAATTTGCCTTTCATCGATCCTGTCGATCTGACTATCATGACACTGGGTTACACTCTATTTGTCATACCCAATATTTGTCACACCTACTTATTTGGCACACTTCCTTTATTGTCATACCCTTTATTTGTCATACCCTTTATTTGTCATACCCTTTATTTGTCATACCCTTTATTAAACTACTAAATTTTACATAACACTATGTCTACTCTTATCTCTGAAGAACCAGACTCTTACACCTTACTACTATTATAAAAACTACCAAGACTATTATAGATTGGAAACTACTGATAAAACTAGATCACACTTTGAGTTCTTCCTACAGCCTTTAAACCAAAAGCCTGTAATTTAATTAAAAAACAACACTTCTTCCACGTATCTCTTCAACTCTCTATTGGTAAATGCTATTGTGGCAAATACCATACTAGTTTTACTTTCGAACACTATAGACTTCCACATATACAATGTATTGCTATTGGAGAATCTACAACTATAATCTTTGAAATTTCTATTAAACAATTAACCAAAAACTGTGATAGATTACCAAAATCACCTATTACCAAAACACCAGCCCAAGAAGAACCCCACCAAGCTAACCTACGAATACTTTTCCCTAACTTTCAAACTAATCCTAACTCTACGGCCATTATTCCATACTCACAACACTATTACACTTGTGTCTTTTGCAGAATTAAAAACCTTTCTTGTATATCTACAAACCAGTGTGAACATGCAACTGATTACACTACAGCTAGCCTCTTTAAAAACCGTTTAATCCACAGAGCATGCTTGGCATATGTTCCAAACATGAAACTCAAACCTCTTGCACCAACAGCCCCACTTAACTTTACTCAAAAATAGTCATATTCCTTATCAAAGCAAAACTGGAAGCACCTCTCACTCCTCATTAAGCACTCATTGTTGCTTTAATCAAACTTCGCAAACTTTCCGTTTAGGAAAAAGGCCAAATTCTGGCATCACTATTTCCTAAACTACAACAACAACAACAACAGCAACAACAACAAAAATACCAACAGCAACAACAACAACAATAACAGAAGCAACAACAACAGCAACAACAACAACAACAATTAAATGAAAACCAAGATGAACTAGAACAGAAACAAGATCAGAAACATGACCAAGATCAGGATCAAAAACACCAACAAAAACAGGAACAAGAATCTAAACAAAAGCATGATACTTCTAATGATCTTAACTGGTTTCAAAAGTATCCAATTACGGATACCATGAAACTTTATACTAGATTTGAGAATACTTTCACACATCAACTATTTGATTTTATTAGACCTCATCTTGTTGACATATATTTTGGCAAGATTATCAAACCTGCAATTAAATACTCCAAAGAACTCAAATTTATATATTCTTATTTAATTATAAAAATGGCTAGACTAAGACCCCAATTTCTTACTAACTTTATCTACAAGAATTTTCCTGATATTAACAGAGCTATTTCTATTCCTTTTGACATCCTCAACTCTATATTTGAAGGACTACTTAAAGAATTTACTAAACTCTTTTACTGAACTTGATTATTTTAAAATCCTTACTTCCTACAACTCTGTTCCACCTTACTCTATCGCTAACCGAAATCTAGTAGCCTTAAATCTTGCACAACTATATCTCATTCTCAATGAGAAATATACCACTATCAACGTGAAAAAATTCTGCGAAGACCTCAATATATGTCCTATTAGACTTCGACTTTACTAGTGAAAATACTCTCTACTAACCACTCCTCAAAGTACAAAATAACAACTACTTCAACATCAACATTTCTTTAAATATACCTAAGCATCACTTTCCTGTGACTTTTCAAATCCCTTCTCTAAAAGATCAATTACCAGAATTCGACAAATGGTTTGACAAGTTCTTTAATATCTACAAACGTCAATTTTCTCAAATTGACAAAAAAAAGTTAAAAACTATATCAAACATCAAATTGTACTTAAATTAGACAATACATGTAAAGTACTCCTATCTAAAAAATTCTCTATCACATATATCAGTTCTCTAAGAGATCAATCCTAACAATGCTTTAAAGCTGCATTATACCATATTCATACTTGTACTGTTCAAGGCTGTTCTACCCTCCTATCAAAGAAAAAACACAATGTTCAGAACTTGTCAGAATTTTTCTTCAAACAGTCATTTATACACTACCTAGCTCCTATTTCTAATATTTC